AACTGACCACTAGGGGCAGCTCTGCTTCACTCCAAACCTCAGTGATCAGTGGGATCAGAGTGGTCTCTGTTTGACTGACGTTGGACTCAGCAATAGAAGGAGGGGAAGTGGGGGTGGGGGGGGGTCGTTGAGACAAAAATCAGATCTTCACAAAAGCTGAGAATAAATCTGTCGTTTCACGTCAGAGCAGGAACGAACCAAACCAGAATACAAAGACACTGACGCTCGTCTAATCAATGAAATGGTGGGGCGAGCGCAGCCCGTCGGTCTGGGGCCACCCGTCAGCCAAGCGGCAGCCGTCAGGCTAGCGGCAGCCGTCAGGTGGGACAGGTGTCTTCTCTTCAGAGGAATTTGGTTTCAAATTCCAACGAGAGCCAGGAGGAGATTCAAACTCTGCCAAAGGAAAGTCGCACGATAAAACATGTCCTGGAAATGATCCAGCACATCCTTGAAGGTTATGAAACGGTCCTTCTGACCGTCTATGAGCAGGAAGTCGAAAAAAATGGAGGGAAATTTCACCTGATGCAGGTGAAAGACGAATGAATAAAAGAGAAACATATTTATAATCATTAATAATGAATCATTTTTACTGAGAAAGAAGTGAAGGAGAGTCAGAAGATATTAAATACAGTGACAGTGACAGTGACAGTAACAGTAACAGTAACAGTAACAGTGATATTATCACAACTTGTAATATTGAGAGTAAAACATGAATCATCTGTTGAACATCGTTTTCTAGAAACACAGCAGAGAAATGATAAAAATGTCAACAATGAGCCGACGTCAGTGAAGAGACACGCGGAGGGAAAAATACTGACAACGACGCCGCACCTTTCATCCTCCTGCCCTTCTTCTCTTTCCTCTTCCTCCTCATCCTCTTATTTAACATCAGAAAACCAAACAATCCACATAACATTTCCACAGACATCTACTGTGTCCCTCAGGGGGCGCTGTTCTCTATTGCAATGATGCTGTCCTTAAACAGAAGGGGATTGAATCGACTCAGAAGATTCTGGAATCGACCTTTTTACGCCTACACTAGAGGTTCACGTCCAAACAGGAAACAGGAAACAGTCAGGGGTTTTCATCTGTGAATTTCCCTTCTTGACGACTCACCATCACCGTGTCTGTCACCGTGTCTGTCACCGTGTCTGTCACCGTGTCTGTCACCGTGACAACAACAACCGATCACCTCCAGTCACAGTCGAGTGACCCCACTCCACCCCAATGGACCGCTAACACGGTGCTAACTGAGCCGCAGCTACATGAGGTGAATGAATCATCGGAACTTTACCAGGACGGCAGCTGGAGGTCAAAGGTTAGCTAGACTGTTAGCTAAAAAGAATGACGTAAACAAAAAAAAAACCCAAAAAACTTAAATCACTGTTTTTGACAAACTGTCAATAACTACTAATAACTACGCTAACTAAATTAACTAAGTTATATAACTTGTTTACTATTCTCCCAGTTCTACATCATTTCCACAGTTTGACGCCACCTGCCTGAAGTCTGACGTCACTGCACCCGTGTCTGCAGACGTTTATCCATTTAGTTTGTGGTCCGTTAATGAAAACAAAACTCAATTAATTAACGAAGGAGTGGATAACGATCAGAGGCTAATTACTGATGGGAGCGCGGCCAGGGTGGAGAGAAAAGATGTTTTGCTAAAGTAAAAAATGAATGAGGAAGACTCTCCTCCGCCCTCTCCTTCCTCCTCCCTCCAGGTCCGGCCGTCATTAAGTCATTACTGTGAAAGCCCATTAGAGAGCAGCACTTATTTAAAGGTGAGCAATGCCGCGTCTTACATAAGGCTAACGCCACCCTGGACACGCCCAGTTCTGACCTGGAATGACGCACGGCTGCCAGCAGGGTCAACGCGTTGGTTGTTGTTATGATGCCCATTCACCAAACAAATGTCCAGAGAGAAAATGAACGATTTTAGCGAGCCGACGTCTTCGCCCACAGTTTCAGTTTGTTCTGGGCTAAGATTATCGAACTAGACGATCATCTGGTGTTTGGTAACAGCTGTTAGCTAACTGTTAGCTAACTGTTAGCTAACAGTTAGCTAACAGCTGACTCAGCAGTCCTGATTTAGTGACTAATGTAAACCGTGACGTGGACCAGAGTTCTGTCTGGATTTGTTCTCCATCTTTGGTACCAACGGACGGCGTGAAGTCTTGTGAAGAAACCCAGTACCGATGCAGAGGTTGCGTAAGAAAATTCATCAGCTATAAAGTTCCAGTCCTTCCACATTTCAATCTGATAATTATTGCCTGCAGTAAATTGCTGGGTGTGTCGATTGTCTTCAGCGTATAAATAACTTCTAATCATGACATGAAGCGGAGAATAAACATGTGGGTCACAGCCCACATGTTTCCATCATTAACTCATTAAAACTTTTATTCTTTATAATCTCACTCTGCGTTTAGGTTCTTCCTGGTACTGCACTGTCACACACACACACACACACACACACCCCTGCCTCTTTAACAGCCTTGTGGAAGTGGAAACACTTTGAAAACAAATTTCCAGCAGCAGGACAACAAAGAGAACGACTTGTTCTGCCACGCCCTCTTCAAACCGGGTTTAATGACAGACTCGACTCCACACATTATATATGAGCACATCTTACCCCAGAGCGGGGCAAATAAATCAATCTGTGCTGTTCTGATCTGGAGACGGGTCTTCACCAGTACCACTGAGACCAGTACCACTGAGTCCAGTACCACTGAGACCAGTACCACTGAGTCCAGTACC